TATTTCATAATTTTTTAACCATCTTATTTTATTGTTCATCTTAATTTTAAACTAGGTTTTATCAAGTTTTTGTTACCTTTTATTACCACTTTGTGTTTTACGTTTGTCTTATTTTAGTATTGTTTGTTGTTTTTACTTACTCTTTTATGTTCTACTCTAACTGACCTGTGCAAACACATTTTTGTGTAATGGTACCAATAAATTATTATTATTATTATTATTATATATATATATACAGGGTGACTTTGAAGTTGAGTCATTAATTTTCAGATAATGATTGTAGAAGGAAGATAAACCAAAATATGTGTGTAAAAATAAAAAAAAAATTAAAAAAAAATTTTACCTTGTTTTATAAAGTATCCTCCCGACAAGTATTTCAGTGCAGACCTGTATTTGATCGTGCGGTCTTGGAGCACCGGCATGCCCACCCCTGGGAGGTCTTAAGTCACCTGATTCACGAGCCCTTTGTACTACATTAACAAAGGCACGAGGGGTTGGTTGCACTCGATTGGGAAACCGATCCGCATAAACATGTGCCATTTTTTATTTCGTTTGAGCCACGCAACAGACACCACTATTCACTCACGCGTTACCGACTGACACTGACTGTATACAAATGAATGAAATAATTGTAAAAATATCGTTCCAAATTCTTTCGCTTTTTTGTTTCCGATGCGATGAACCGATACGGCGGATTATATCCGTTGTCGCCAAACACGAGCACAATATTATTATTGAGACAGGGCGGTACTCAAACTTCCAAAGGGCTATAACTTTGTTACTTTAATTTTACCAGAAAAATGGTAAAGGAAAAAACATTTCTTTTGATCAGATCTACTCACTGTTAAAATAAATGACTCAACTTCGAAGTCACCCTGTATATATTAATGTATCATCAGCAAATAGTTGAATTTTGCAGTGCTGTAAAATATCAGGAATATCATTAATATATGAAATAAATAGTAATTTACCTAATTTGCTACCCTGTGGCACACCTCCCGAAATGTTTTTAATGTTTCATAATGTGTTGCCAATTTTACACTGAACCTTAAAATCCATAGCAATGCAATTTCGTTAACAGTTTCTCCCTGTCAATAGTCTCAAATGCTCTCTTGAAATCTAAGAACAATGTTACGGTAAACTTTTTTTCATCCATATTTCGCCTCCATTCTTCTACTACCCTTTGAATTGCTGTTTCAGTAGAATACTTTTTTCTGAATCCTGCTCGAAATTTTCTTCAATATATTCATTGACTTGTTCATACGATTCCTTCTAAGAGCTTCTCGACATGTGGCAGTACATTAATTGGCCGCATGTTTGTATATAACTCAGAATTTTCCACTTTCGGAACAGGAGTAATTGTAGAACATTTTAATTTTGAAGGAAATTCCCCGTACACTAAACAGTGATTCACTAACAATAATAACTTCTCTCCAATAATGTTGAAACATTCCTCCATAACCATTTTTAAAAGATGTTCACTAGGATTTCTATTCGATTTCAATCTTGTAATAGCTTTTGAAAGATGGCTGATATTTATTGTTTGGAATTGTCTCATCGAAGAATTATAAGTAACTTGCATGTGACATAGATCTGGATTCCCATCTGCGATTGATTCCACTGTCTCATTTATACTTTCTATAAAATAAGCGTTCTTTCGTTCTGCAATCAATATTTTTTGTGTTACTATACCATCTTCGAAGCACATTATTGATAATAAATTCTTCCTACTGGGAGATACAATATTTTTTAGTGTCTTCCACATCATTTTACTTTTATTTTTATTGCTATCGATTTTGTTTTCATACTATTTTTTCTATTCGATTTGTTAAACACTTGTTTCTTGATTTCTTATATTGCATCCAATATTCCTCAGTTTGAATGATCATAAACTTTTTATAGTCATTATCACGCGTCAATTTAGAGTCTAGAAATATTTGTGAAAACCAGAGTGTTGGCTTTTTCCTTTGATATACCACTTTTTTAATTTGTGCGTCTCTCATGCATTTCTCCATACAATTCATAATTTTTGAGAAGTACGTGTCAGCATTAAAAATTTCAGTGATATTGGCTTGTAAGAGTGACTCTCGTAACGTTTCAAAGTCAATAATTGTGATTTCTCTTGATTCTATCTCATTAAGCATATTTTCCACCTCGAAACATATCCACGGATGGTCGCTTATTTTTGGAGTATGCAAAAACTTAATACACACATTGGTTATTATTAAATCGTTCTTAGTTCGTGAAAAGTTTGTAATCCTTGTGTAGTTATTAAGTTTTTGTCATAGACCATGAAAGTTCAGTACCTGTTTAAATTTTTTTACATAAAAATCTTGATTATCAAAATTTATATTGAAGTCTCCAAAGTGCACAGTTTTTTTTATACTCCAACTACCACGAAGGCCTAAGGTCTAAACACCCATTGGGTACCGTGGGGCTATAAGGGGATACAGGGGCAAGGGGGAACATCACACGGACTCTGGCAAGGGAACACGTGTGCATGCAACATCCACACATTCTGGCTCCGCCTACGAGATCCGCCGGGTGGTACCTCCGCGTTCGACAGTCAGAGACCATCTACCACCTACGGACAATCACAACACCCAAGGCCAAGAGAAAAATTTCTCTTGGGACGGGATGCGAACCAGCGCAGCGCACGGCGACTGATCAGGAGACCGAAGAGTCTACTACTGCGGCCACCGCTGCTGCCTGTCACAGTAGAGCAATTTCAATAATACTGTTTTTCACAGTCTCAAAAATGTCCAAAAATCGGCTAATATTACAGCTTGGAGATCTGTAGTAAACGTGACGTTGTAATTTTGTTTCATCTTGATTTCAAAATTAATATACCACCAATGATAATCAACAACTACAGTATTGTGTTTTTAGTTCAATCATACTCAGTTTGTATATTAGTATGCCACCTGTATGTTTCGAAACTGTGTTTACTCTTACAACATCATAATGATGAATATCAATTTCCACATCTTCTGTAATATGTGTTTCAGTCAAGCAAAGAACTAATGGTTTCACTAATATTAAAAAATTTATAACTTCATCCCTGTGCGATAAAAATCCTTGAATATTTATATGGTATACGTTGTTGGAATATTTTTTGGCCTGTAATTGCTATTTGTCACCTTAAGAAACTTAATTTTTTGATTTTCCATATTCGATTTGGACCATGTTGCAGGTATAGTGGAAGGATGAGTGATTTATATCGAAATTTGTGTTGTATTGCAAATTTGATTCTCTGCAATTTGGACACGTTATTTCATCTTTTGGTATCGTACAGCTCTGGGCCTGCTGATCACTATTACCACATTTTAAACAAATATTGGTCTTGGTTCAATTCTTCGCTGTGTGGTGAAATCCGCCACTTGCTCAATTCCTTCTTTGTGTGCGTACAACTTTGATTTGTATTATTAGGTTTAATAACAATTATATTATCTGTTTTTTTTTTGGAGATGACGAAGTAATGTTGGTGTTTTCATGTGTAGAACTTTTGACCATGTCTGCATAAGATTTACTGTTATTTGCAGATGTATCTTGTAAATTCTCAATTTGTTTATTTAGTTTATCTATTTTTCATAAAGTTCTTTTATCAGTTTTTCTAGTATTGAAATGGTATAGTATTTTATCTTTAAAATGTCTGTTACAAAAAAACCTTTTTCTTCATGTGATCCATTCACCTCATTTACTTTTCCACCAGCTTCAGTCCTATCTTCATCAGTCTCCATATGGTTCAACTCGATATTTTTTCAAGAACGAACTTGACCCAGAAAACCTGACAATTTTTGTCACTAATATGTTTCAAAATTAGGTATCCGTAAAAGTTCCAAAAAGTCACTTCGATCACTGTTTCCAATTTACCACTGCTCATTACTCTAGATATTATCACCAGCAGTTAAAAATCTTCTCTGGAATAAGCAAATTGCTCTCTTTTTAGAGAACTACCTAATGTACTGTTAGTAGACAAGACAGGGACGTTTTCAATTCATTTAACTTTTTTTGCTATTTTGATCACTTACTAAGTCAATTTATATATTTTTTTTCCAAACTGGACCACAGATGGATGTCTAGATATCCAATTTATATTCCACAAAGATCCAAAGGATGAGGGTCCATAAGGACATTTTTGCGGTTTCGAAAAATCAAATTTGAAGTTAAAACTATTTTACGAATAGATTTTTGCATTCAAATATTTTGGATTTTCACCGAAAAAGTTATTTATTTCAAATATTTCATTTCGTCATATTTTGTATGACTCAGTGTGTTCAATTGTAAATTGAAAATTGGGTGAATTTTGAGGAAAAAAATCCAAATTTGCGAAGCCTGGCCTTTCAAAGAACAGTCTAGTACTAGAATAAAAAATGTTGAAACATTTCAAGTACACATTTTTGAAATATTTAAATCCGAAAATATCATTCAACAAAACCCCCTTATGGACCCTGATCCTATTTGAGACAAACAAAGCAACTGGTCAAAAATATGTGTACGTCCATACCAGAAGTGGATTTCTGGAGTTGTTTTATAAACATTACAATGTTGAAAAAAGCTCTGTATTTTTAGGTGATTTCGCTATATCTTTTTCAATGGCATTTGTACTCCAGTACTTTTCATTTATGTCCTGGAGCATTAGCCACAATTCGGTATATTATTTTTCCTTAAGCCAAATTCCATTCTATCCATCTTTATTTTTTTATATCTGAATTATAGTAGCCAGCATAAATCTGGACAGTTTCATTATACCAATGTTGACGGATAACACTGATCATTGTACTTGAAGATATCCGACCTAATACTATATTAGCACGTCCCAAAACTTATCCAAGATAAAATGAGATACCGTAGCATCGTTACACAATTATAGCTTCTCATAGATGATGTAACGGTATATCATTTAATCTCGGATAGTTTTTCGGGCGCGCAAATATAGTATCATCTTCAGGTAGAATACGTTAATCAATCTTATAGGCAATCTTTATTTGTCGTTGTGACGGACTACACAACAATTCGTAAAACGAAAAAAAACAAACAACTAAATTCACGAAACGACTAACAGAACAGATTGTAATATATAACTTCCAAAAGCATCTTTTTGCACAGGATGCCTCAAAGAATGTAAACAATCTCTCGAAATCATATAAAACACAAAAAATTAACAGGTACACGCCACCTAAAGCTTTGATTGATTCACTTCCACAGAAAATCTTTTTTTTTTCGTAACAACTCTTTACTGTACAACTAGATGGTCAAATGCTTTCAGATCTTTATGTCGTTTAAAAATTACTGAAAACTGTTATCTGTCATATTTTCAGTAAGCTTAGTTCTTGCTGAAACGTGTATCAGTACAATGTTGTTTTTTTAAAAACAGCAAAAACTAGAACTTGGCACAATTTTTTTGTATTCTACACGCATTTGGGAGATTGCTCACTTACATTTTGGGATACCCTGTATGATTTTTGTTTCTTCAGATATCCACTAATGACGCAAAAATAGCAACATATATAACGTTATACGTGCTTTCAAAGTATTGAAGAACAAATAGTCAGGGTGTTCCTTATTGACGTGCTAATATTTAATGAGGTAAAGTTTTCAGAAAAATAATCTGTATTTTATAATAGCTGTGATATTATTGTAGATATCTTGAAATCTGGTATACAAGGTGCATTTCCTGAAGGTCAAAAATTTTAATTATTTGAGCCAGTGGCGTCGGTACGGGTTTTTGTTCACTATTTTTGGAGACCAAAATGGTACGCCACTGATTTCGGTTTAAATAAAAAACATTTTTGAAATTCTCATTTATTTCTGAGCAAGTCTCATCCCTTGATTTTCTTTCGTTCGACGCACAGTTTCCGTTCAAGAAAATAAAAAAAACGATATGACCCTAAAGTAAAACGACTTTTATTTTTTGAGCGAAAACCATTCGTCGAACGAAAGGAAACTAACAGATCGAATTTGCTCAGAAATGAATGAAGATTTCAAAAATGTTTATTCAAAGAGGTGGCGTGCCATTTTTTTTTCTGAAAACTTTGTCGTCAAAAGTTCATGCGAGTTTTTTCTTAAGAATCACCTCCTTTGATATAGGCATGACATTAAGGAACGCCCTGCATATATTGATGGCTAGTCAGTTGATCGATCCTTATGTATATCTTATTTTGAAAGAGGTCAAGTCTGTGATAGAGAATCAATAATTTGGGGGTACGTAATACACTTAAAATTATTGCCAAAAGCAATCACTGGTGAACTGTAACCATACGAGGACGAACAATTATATTAATATTATATAATAAGGAACAAAAATACACAAAACTAGTGCTTCTTGTCGATAAAATGAAGTGTATTACATTCCCTTGAATTACCAATCGGTCTGTCCCAGGTACATTTTAGATACGACCAAAATTAGATTGTCTCGAAGAAACTTGAACAGAGTAATATATAAACATTTAAATTCACTAGAAACTAGAGTTTGTCTTGCTTTGAAGAAACGAAACACTATCAACTACAAATATCAAAAACCTCTAACAACAAACATGTTATGCAAAGCAAAGGCAAATGATTTCGCCATACCACAAAACTGCAGATTTTCTATCCACTGCAAAAGTGAGTTAGCTACACATGGAGCTCAAAGGAGTGATGAGTTCCCACAGAAATGGACGCAATTGGAAATTCGAACTTTCAGAGTCGTCTTTTCAGGACCTGTCTCTCCATAGCATGTCCTCTTATACCCGTTTAGCAGCAAGCAAGATGCAAGAGAAATCTTGATCAGACGAACTAACACCTTGTGAAAATCAATCAGTTGGATTTTTGCTGATCAAATGTTAATTTTTTTTTATTATATCACCATTGTGACATAGTGCTTTTCGGGAAATAATACCCTCTCATAAGAAATATTTCTCCCACTTTTAGGGGTAGTATGGGGCAAAATGGAAGTAAAGATTGACACGACTTGCAATAACAATTCTGTTAAGCCATTTGTAATGTGATCAAATCACGAAAACGATTGATCCTACGTAAAAAAGTAATTAAAGCAATTTTGTAGGAAATTGAATTCTTCATTTTGCTGCTATATATTTGTCGTATAGTTAACATACAGGGTGTTCGAAAAATAGACAGATATTTTAGAGGGTGATTCCTTGTTAAAAAATAGGAAAAAAAAGTTTTCACGAACATGGGCCCGGAAATGCAGAGTTCCCAAGATACAAATTTAAAAAATGCCTTTTTTATTGATATCTTAAAAAATATTTACCCGATTTTGTTAGAATTTGGCGATATTATTTGTTGTATTAAGAGCTGATTTAGTCCTATATTGATTAAAATTATTAGGTACAGTGGCGAATATTATTGGCAAAAAATGTACGCCACTGCATTTTTTGTAACTTGTTTGATTAAGCATCTAAGAATACTACCCCTTTACCTCTTGTATTTTTTTGATACCACACTTTGTTTCCGAGAAAAAAGAAATAAAAACCGCTTTGTTGCACGTCACAAAATTGGTATATTAATTTTTGCACAATCATTCTTTTTATATTTTTTAACAAGGAATCACCCTCTAAAATATCTCCGTCTATATTTCGAACACTCTGTATATTGATCAGCCCTAGTTTCAGTTTGCTAACTAGGCCCATCTCAAAAATAAGGATTGATCTGAAAAAGTATTTCTCTTGCACATTAGACCATTAGCAATCTAGCTGCAATGCCGACACAATACAATCATTAGACTAGATTCATCTTGAAAACTAATTCGTCAGTTTGTTGCTAGAGGTCTTCATTTTATGCACCATTTTTTATATATGTACCTCTTACAGATAAATATAAATATCACATGTATAGTACATACAATTACAATTTTACAAAAAAATACCAATAAACAATAAACTATATATAAAACTAATTATATTTATATTTACATATAACATATAAAAGTTTTTACACCAAAATTTATCTACATTCAATAGTAATTATGTCACATTCGATTTTTCATGGAATCAATCAAAAACAAAAAAATTAGACTAGTCTTCACCAGAATTTTCGGTGGTTTGTTCGGCGTGTATTAGGAAACAGTACAGTTCGATTTTTCATTTAGGTTTCCGTCTGCTTTTTCTATTTCTGATACTAGGTTATGGAAGATGTCGGAAACCGACTAAAAAAGAATTCCTTTTGATTAACTTGAGAACTACAGAATAAATATCTACCCCTAGCAAGGGGGTATCGAACATTCGAATCATAGATTTCTTCTAATTTTTGCACAGGTTATACAGTGGTTCGGCAGTTATGACAAGTTTTCCTTTAATAAATTGTCTAGAGTCACGTCCTCTCTCACCTTATAGAATCAAAAGTTCTACAAATTAAAATAAAATACTTGAGGCATCAAACCGCTTGTAACACGAACATTGTCAGCTTTAGAGAAAAGTTACTAGAGACCTTTTCTGGGACATACCATCCCCACCCCCCACGAACCCCACCCCCATTTTTTTGAAACGTCAAAAAACGAAGTGTGAGCGGTTTTTTATTTCTTTCATTTCCGGCCTTTTTCTGGACAGATTTTCAAAAAATACAAAGATTTCTTGTCCTTGGCATAGTAGTAACATCGTGTAAAAATTTCATCAAAATTCGATCAGTACTATCAAGTTATAAACGGTTATAGGATTAGCGGAAATGAGTGACATGGTTTTTACTGACGTTGTCCATGTCATGTCAACAAAGTAAATGAAATGTTAGCAAACATTTATATAGTTATGACCAATCACGACAATCAGAAATGATGATGTATCGAATGGCTCTTGCCATGAAATTGCCAATTTCCGATGTCACAATAACCATTTTAAAATGTGAGAATAATTTTTGGGTGAATTAACAGATTATTCTAGGCAATTCTTAATGGAAACTTTTTTAAGCAAAATGGCTTAACTCTGCATATGCTTAGGTGGTCTACCTTCTATGATAACTGAACTTGAAGTCAAAGTTTAAGCTTAAGTTAATTTTTGACACAAATATTTCATAATTCTCATGTTAAATATGCCCCTTATATGCGATAGTATTGTTAACAGTTACAATAAAATATTTAGAAATAGCCATCAAATTATTTGAAATTGTGGGATTACAAATATATTCAGACTGTGTAAAATATTCAGCACTCTATGCATTCGAATTAAAAAAAATACTTATGAGTTAATGATCGACAATATACAGGGTGTTCCAGATTAAGATGCTATCAAAATTTTAATGAGTTATGCAGGGCCGTTATTTAGTTTTTCAAGGGGCCTATATCTTTGTAGATGAAAACCATAGGATATTTTTATATGAACTAGTCACATTCTTTTTTTGTGTTCTATGTACATGCTACTTCCCTATTATCTAATATTTGTAAATTCAAGTTTTGCAGTCTTTTAGCTCTGAAGACATATAGTATTAATTTTTTTGGACTAACAGTTCAAATATCAACTTTTTAAGACCTAGTGAAAAAAAGTGGCGACTAGCCTATCAAGATGTTATTCTGGGACATCCTGTACATACAACCATTGCTGTTTCAAAATACCTCAAAGAACTGCAGAATGTTAGTTGAAATAGTGAAATACTAGGCATGAATCCCAAACATTCTACAGGCATATAAAAACCCAAGCAATAACACAAAGACTTACAGCGTTCTGTTTTGCAGATGTCTCTAGAAAAATCGCCTTCCATTCATCAGCCAGTCGCCTTCCTTCATCTGCTGGTATCATTCTCTCCATATGTAAATCAGTTTTGTTTCCAACCAAAACTACAGGGACACTGCAAACATTTTTATATTTTTTATGATACTCTACATAATTATTTTGTTTGAATTGTGTGTAAAGGCATATTTGACATTTTCTGCAATGTAATAAAACCCGACATCTCTGTTGAGACAATATCTGGATGTTTTCCAAAAAAGCCTAAATTGTTCCAAAATAGTACATTTTTGGATTACAGCCATATTTTCACATTTCAGCTTTCCTGATATTCAAATTTATTTAAGCATGTTTGAAATATGACAAGGGTTATATGTCCACAACTCTTAAGGCATAAGAGGTATAATTTATTTCTTTCTAAATTATAAAATAAAATTTCAGCTAACATTTGTTCTTATTCCATTAGCTAAACATATTAGTCTCAATCTTTTAATTTTGGGACAAAATAAATAATGTTTAAAGATAATAATATATTCCATTTCAGCATCCAAAAAAATATCAGAGATAAAGGGAGATACCATAGCATCATCAATAAGATTTTTCATGATTACAAAGCATGGGAACTACGAGCACACATTGCTATTTAAATACTTACTGTTCTTTGCCAGTGATATCTAGAAGCTTCTCATGTATTGATTTGACTACATCAAATGATTTTGTATTTGTTATACTATAGACCAGGACATATCCATGAACATCAAAACTGTACTGTGATGGAAAAATCGAGTATTCGTCTTGACCTGCTGTGTCTACCAATTTCAATTCATAGTCTTGCGAATTTATCCTTGTAGACTTGGTAAATGCTGAAAAAAATTAGCAATTTAATAGAAGGAATTCCAAAACAGAGGTTAAACTGGACTACAAAGTATGGCTTAATCCACTCATAGATCATTGCTAGGCAGAATGGTTTATTGTATAATAAATTAGAAGATACTATATTGAGTGATCCTTTATTTTTTTATAAACAAGCCACCCTCTAGCCTGCTACCTAACAACTAACAAACTGACATACTAGCTTGCTGACTTAACGTCTTCAAAAAAATTTATAGACGTTAAATCACTGTATGAAAATCTATGAATTATTACTTTTATTTCAATAGAATCTCTAGGATTTAGCTAAAAATAACAAATCACTAAACTAACATTTGACATTTTAAAGGTGGTCAACTACATCAAAAAAGATGTAGCAACTTGCATGTTAAGATTATGTTAATCAATAGATTAAACTAATATAATTTGATCGTATTAGATATTAAAGATGAACATTAGTATAAATATCTAATTTTTATTTCATACAATTCAATACTAAACATAGAAGCATATTATCTAATGATCTGTGCTTTTGTTTACATCCATCCGTTTTTATTATGGTATGAAATAACAAAGTGTAAGTTCAATGTTGCGATGGTACAATCTCATAAACGTTTCTTATGGAGTAATTAAAGGCAAGGCAAAAAACTTATTAGCACTTGATATCACTAATGCTCAAATTATCACAATAATGAGCAGATATACAATTTCAAGCATCTCAGTTACAGAGATAAGATTTTTAGTTATGTATATGCACTTGGCAAATCGTAAATGACTGTTACTACAAGATGTTAACGTGCTAACAGTAATGTTAAAGAATTTTAGGACTCCCGTACATTTATGGACTAATGTACTGTGACATTTGATCACATTTTATAAATAGACTGGAGAAATACTTACTATTTTCTATTGTGGGGTCGTACGAGTCCACGAATTGTCCTTCCACAAATTGGATGCTGAGCGACGATTTCCCTAAAAATGGGTGTTTAAGAAATCGCAGGAATTTCCAAAAATGTAAATCATTTGCTCACCTACTGATCGATATCCCATGACAGCTATTTTGCGTTGTTTAGAAGGCATTTTTAAAGTTGCAAAAACAATATATTTGTCAGAAATAGAGACACGCCGTGAAATATATCAATGTAAAAGAACAAGAACAATATATACAGACAAAAATTAACAAACAAGTTTACGAGATCCGACTAGGCACAACAGACAAGTGTAAAAATGACAAATATTTTGACGTCTTCTAACGCCAGTAAAAATATAGAGATGGGACATTCGAATATGTCAAACATGGATGTCTATTTGTCATAATCCTTCCATAATGGCATTTTGGAATTGTGGTGGAGTTATTTGGTACAGAAATGGCTAGGATTCATAAATATACCCTATTGAGCGTAGTGATGGTACGCGCGTTAAGGAATACCTGATAACAAATTATCTTGTTCTTTTTATGCATCAAAGCAGCCGCGTAGGCAGAAGCCTATGTGCCACGGTACCGCGGCTGTTATGAGAATCCCAAAGAAACTTTGTTAATCCGATTTTTGAATTGCCTAGGGTTTCAATTTAGAAAGCGAAATGGATCCATTCTAGAATCTCCGGGACATAGCACGGTCTTTCTGAAGGTCCATATTCTACGTGCCTATTCGACTGACTTGATCCATTTCATTCTTGTGTTCTCCATGTTCGTAGTTAACTTGCCGACAACGCTAGGTGTGGGTGGGAACGTGGGAAGTGCACAGTCAAACTAATTGACGCCAGATACAATTTTTGTGTCAATCAAAGACACTGCAAGGAGAGTAATTCAGTTTGAAAAATGGACGGCTATGCAGACTTATAGCTAACACTGGATGAACAGCCCTTAAGACCAATAAAAAGACAGTGTTATAATAAGTCGTACTACATTAGTGATGCCGTCTCTAGAATGTGTTCATGCAATTTTTTATGAGAAGTTCAAAATTTGTGTATATCCATTATCCAATTTGAAAATAGATTATTCCGTGGTACGTACAAAGCCAATTTACTTGATGGCATATAATGAATTTAAAATATTCGCAAAGGCCCTTGATCCACCGCTGATCTTGGGATCGCCGTGAATCTACCGAATTTCAACGACACTATCTACCAATCTACCCTATCTACCGATTTCGTATTTTTTCGGTTCTGCAACACTGCTTTTGCTTGACAAACGGGCGGAAATCAGCATGACTGTATATAAAAACTTCTTTTGCATTTGTTTTTCTCAAAAATCTCAAAGACAATATTAATTTTTATGTATTGATACCACGATGAACTCACATAGTGCATTTTTGTGAAACATACTATCCTTAGTTAAATATTGAGTAATACGTACGTGGCTAAAACCACATAACCTCATTCCATACTTGAAAGGCTCAAGAAAAACTTGAAAAATCAAGTAGCTCCTTCTGTTGCCAGGCTCCTGTCAAACAAACAAGTATCTTCAACCTCAACTGTCAGGGTATGATCTCACGTTTATGTGTAAGAGCAGCAATACAATGAATAAAAAAGAAGAAAAGACACTAACACCAAAAAAGTCTGTTTGGATCAGAGCAGTCACAGCCAATTCTGAATGGCCAGACAAGGAAGAGTTCCTGGATGTGATCTATTGGGCTAGGCAAGCTATAGGGATCCTACTAGGAATCATTTGGGGCCTTCTACCACTAAAGGGCTTCCTAGGGCTGGTGTTGTTTGCAGTCATCAATGCTGGAGCTGTTTACCTCTATTCCAGTAATTTTCAGAACGTCGATGAAGACGAATTTGGTGGTGCATGGGAATTGACTAAAGAAGGTTTCATGACATCGTTCGCAGGTTTCTTGGTAACCTGGATAATCATCTATTCTGGTTTGTATTATGAAATCGACAGAGTAGCATCTTGAAACTCTTCTTGAATGTTTTGTATGTTTATATGACTTTTTGTATGAATTGCTGTTGTTATGAAAGCAATAGTGCGAAGTTGTGTTATGATGATTTGTATTTGTTTATAAGACTTGTTATGAAATATACGAATTAAAATATTTATGAAAATAGATAACTGTTTTAGTGATTTTTTTATTTGAAAAGGACATTACTTAATATCAATTGGAACAGCGAGCTTTGGGACTTAAGATGTAAACACATAAGGGATTGGTGCTCAAAATAGTATTACCTGTAGTGTCTCATTGACAATTAAATAATGCAGAAACATGGACTAAGCTTTGTAGAGGAAAGTTTGAAATTCAATGTAGACACTGATATCTTAAAAATGAGTTTATAAGCATTTAAAATGATCAATTTTGAACAAAACTAGAACCTTTCTTGTTCATAGAAAACCGAAGTCCGGCAGTCTCTTGATTCTTATCAAGGGGCATCCAACAAACGTGATTATGAGAAAGTTTGTCCTATGAATGCAGATTTTTTTGGTCTAAATGAATTTCAAGGATAAGAATATAAAATAAAACAAAAAAAATATTTAAATAAATTTACATAAATAAAATGAATAATCAAGCATTCATTTGTACCTTAAACATTATGGCTTCAATTTGAATGACAAAATTTTTTGTAATCATTATCATCACTCACAACATATATCTTTTTCCCTCTAACCTAATAAATAAATTAATCTTTCCTTGACCAATTACAAACGTTTCGCGAATCTTGTACTTTCTTCATCATCATCATGTTCTTGCGATTCTCCTCCAACGGTATCTGCAAGTCCATCAACAATCTCATCTATCATTTCTCCAGATTCTTCGTTGTCATCTTGAGTTTTTAGGCATTTAAAATGATCAATTTTGGACGAAACTAAAACCATTCTTGTTCATAAGAAACCTAAGTCCGAAAATCTCTTGATTCATATCAAGGGGCATCCAACAAACATGATTATGAGAAAGTTTTTCTCCTATGAATACGAGATTTTTTTGGTCTAAATGAATTTCAAGGATAGAAATATAAAATAAAACAAAAAAAAATATTTAAATAAAATTTAATAAATAAATAAATTTACATAAATAAAATAAATAATCAAGCATTCATTTGTACCTTAAACATTATGGCTTCAATTTGAAGGACAATTTTTTTCTAATCGTTATCATCACTCACAACATATATCTTTTTCCCTCTAACCTAATAAATAAATGAATCTTTCCTTGACCAATTACAAACGTTTCGCGAATCTTGTACTTTCTTCATCATCATCGTGTTCTTGCGATTCTCCTCCAATGGTATCGGCAACTCCATCAACAATCTTATCTATCATTTCTCCAGATTCTTCATTGTCATCCAGAGTTTTCAGGCATTTAAAATGATCAATTTTGGACGAAACTAAAACCATTCTTGTTCATAAGAAACGTAAGTCCGAAAATCTCTTGATTCATATCAAGGGGCATCCAACAAACGTGATATGAGAAAGTTTTTCTCCTATGAATACGAGATTTTTTTGGTCTAAATGTATTTCAAGGATAGGAATAGAAAATATATTTAAATAAAATTTAATAAATAAATAAATATAATAACAAATTTACATAAATAAAATAAATAATCAAGCATTCATTTGTACCTCAAACATTATGGCTTCAATTTGAAGGACAATATTTTTGTAATCATTATCATCACTCACAACATATATCTTTTCCCTCTAACCTAATAAATAAATGGATCTTTCCTTGACCAATTACAAACGTTTCGCGAATCTTCTACTTTCTTCATCATCGTCGTCATCAGTATCACTATCGTCTTCTTCCGATTCTCCTCCAACGGTGTCTGCAACTCCATCAACAATCTCATCCATCATTTCTCCAGATTCTTCGTCGTCATCCAGATGTTCTTTCGTATCCATTACTTTGTTGACAGGTGCCACATTAATCTTCGTTCCTTTTTTCTCCTCAACCGAGTCGTCGATTTCGTCTTCAATCACGTCACCCACAACGTCAGTTAGAGGATCATTTTCCTCACTCGAACTTGATTGGTCGTCGACTTTTTTTTTGATTGTAGGCGTGGTTACAACCTCTGCTTGTGTAGCTTGTTCTTGTTCAGATTGGACGGGAGTATAGTCAGTTGCAGAGGCCGTTTCTGTGTCAACTTGAGGCGTACCTGAAAATCGTTCAAGTGATAAAGAATGTCAACTCCAAAAGCAAACAGTAGCTAGAAGTTTTAGTACCAGCAAAGGTGGTCGCAGCCCTAATGCTTGGGAAAATGTTCGTGTCAGTGGGGAGGAGCGATTAAATTGTGAAGATCGGGTAGGGGGGGCTGGTCTAGCAAGGACTTGGGCGTCTAGGGGGAGCCTCGCCCCCTCTAAATCTGTCATTGGTCTCAAGCTCAGTGCGGAGAGACGTAAAAAATTTGTAAAATTACTCGTAGAAGGTTATATCAGCAAAAATATACAGGGTGTTAAAAAAGTATGGATACATCAAAATCAAATCATCAAAATGTATCAGAAAATACGTTTCCTAGAGAAAAAAGTTCTAAGGTTTGAAAAGATGCATCCATTGGTGACCTTAAATATGACATTCAAGGTCATTTGAAGGTTAAGACAATTTTCTTAAACGAACCCCCTATTTTTGACACCGGAAATGTAAAGAGCAGGACATTTTACGTTAAGGTATGCCTTTACCCATGAACTTCGTGGGTATTTAATGGCATCTAGAATAAGAGAAATGACAAAATATCCCGGAAAATTTACGTTTCATAAAGAAAAATGTTGTAAGGTTTGAAAAGATTCATTTAATGATGACCTTGACTATGACCTTCAAACTAATTTGAATGTCAACGCAGTTTTCTCAAGTGTTAAAATCCCTATTCTTGACACTAAAAAATAAAATGAGCAAGAAACTTTATGTTGAACTATGTCTATGACTTTGACCATCAAGGTCATTTGAAGATGGAATGAATTTTGAACACTGGAAACATCTATTTTTAATTCCTAAAATGCAAATTGCGGACAATTTCAAGTTCAAGTATATATTTGCCAATGAACCTGACATCTAACCTTCAAGGTCATTTTAAGACTAGATACATTTTCAAGTGAACTCCTTACTTTTTGTTGAGAATATACAAAATCCGAATCATGGGTAAAAAATGTTCATTTCCAAAGTAATTAATAATATTCCATTACTATTAATATTGAATCTTTTTTATTTTTACATCATACTACTTCCACACTACCGGAGCCCCGAGAACCTCATATTATTATTATTTACGGATATCTAATGAATTATGGCGACACGTATTACCTTCTGTCTCATTTGAAGTTTTGGTGAGATTGTTCTGAACCGCATCATTTTGACTCATAGTGTTGTTCATCAGATCGCTAAGTATTTCATTATCAGAAATTTTTGGCGCCTCAGTTGTAGTAGTGGTAGTGCTAGTAGTTGACCTCTTAGTAGTTGCAGATGCTGTGATCCTTTTTGTAGGCCTTGAGGTGACACGCCTTATAGGCTTTTTTGTGGTTGTTCTCCTTGTAGCTTGCCTCAGAGGAGCCCTGGTTGTAGTGCTTACTTTCTTTTTGTTAGATGTAGTTGTCTCATCACCTTCCTGGAAATATGCACCGATAAAGTCATCGTCCAGGACAGTTAGGGTTTCCGATGGGTCATCGTCCTGAAATTGAATTTAAATTTTCGTTAGCACAGATTTTTGATATTAAAAAAATATTATTTCGCTAATCATAGCCCCCCCCATCCAATGGTTCTAAAAAGCCTATAATATTCAATCAAAAAATCTAAATCTAACTCATTGCCGATGGTGACTGAACTATAACTCAAATGATAAAAGCAAGGAAATTTTATTCAACTTCAAGTGAAATGCAGAGTAGGTCTACTTGACGCCGTTTGTAAGTCACAGAATTCTCAAAAAAAACTCGTACGAGTACAAATTATGAATCGCGACAGAAATCTGTATTCCAAAGTTATTTAATCTTTCTGGTAGGTGGCGCCAGAAGTATTATAAATGCATTTTATCACCGCATTTGTATATTGGATGCATCACAGATATTTTCAAAACAAAATCATTTGTGCACTACACCATTGAAACTCACATTTTAATCAATATGTTAACGAATGTAATATGGAAGCAGCATAAGAAGGGTACTAAAAACTCTCTATTAGCCCCAATAGGCGTCAAAAATCATCGTGAAAAATTCTTTATTTATCGATACCGACCTCTTCTTCATCTTCATCGAAAAGGTAATCGTCATCGTCGTCATCATCATCGTCGTCATCGTCCTCCTGTTCAATCGGAGGTAACGGTTGCGCTGGTGTCAGTCTGAATCCTTGAGGCCCAAATCGGAAACAAGACACTCTAACTGCTGCCTCAATGTCCTCCAGAGCACGAAGTTCTAAGCCCAAACAGGCATTGAATTCGTTACCTTCACGGCCTATGTTATACACTCTACCGCAGAACTTTGACACTCCGCCCGGTAGGGACATGCAGATAGGCTGAGGTTTTCTACCTGTAAGAATTGAGTATATTATAGCCATCGAATTCAGACTAGGTAGAAGCAGCAATTCTACAACGAATTTGAATATTTTGCTAGTTCCTTGCCCGACCATCTGGACCACACCAATCAGACACGTCATAAGCACCAGCCACGATACTATAACATCCCTGCCGGCGATGCTGTCAGACGCAAAGCAGGGTGCGGTGTATGAAAGTCGCCGTTGCATTGCATCGTCCCGACCGACCGTGCATAGTTTATATGTACCTGTTATAAGGGCAAATGTACGGGAAATCTTTGATGGTTGCGGCCAACAAAATCAGATATACCATCTCCATCCCCTACAGCCGCCAACCCCCGATTTTAATCCCCTACAGTCTTTTTTCTGAAAATGGCCAGGTTTCGCTGAAACGTCAAAAAAACGAAATTTGAGCGATTTTAATTTTCCTCCTGATTTTGCCCCTAGCTCCATTGTCACTTGATCGATTTCCAAAAACTTCAATGGTTTTTTTGCCTTAGCATAAGAGTAAACTTGTGTGAACATTTCATCTAAATCCGATCACTACTTTTCAAGTTATAAGGTCCAAAGTCTAGTAGGCACACCTACAGACTGAAATGAGTGTAACATTAATAATATCATCGCGATTACAATACTTCCTCGCCAGTAGGCGTAGAAAGTAAAAGGTTGATCAACGTATCCTACCTGAAGATAGCTCACCATACACTGTATTTCGACGTACAAAAAATTATCAGAGATAAATGAGATATCCTGGCGTGTTCCACATCTCCGCAATAATTAGAAGTTTTCTTTCAAGAGTCTCATAGATGGCGCTGTAGCCAACTGTATGAGCATTATATGGTGCATAAGTCTAAAACATACCCACAAAAGTTTCTATACATACTTCCTGAACTGGTGCGGGAAGTAAAATACAAATCTACCTATTATGGCCTTTCAAAATTATTTCTAATATACTAAGTGACATATAAATCCGAACACCCAGTTTAAATGGTTTTATTTTAATAAAATTTTGTATAAGTACTTAATGAAGCATAATAAGTAAATGATAAAAATTTAAAAATGATTGCACTGCTTTAAAGCCCTTTGACCTTTAATAATGTGTGGATGCACCCTGATATGCTACGCATTCTCCAACGCGCCTAGGCATGCTTCTGATCAGGTGGTCAATGTCCTCCTGTGGTATCTCATTCCAGGCAACCACCAACTCCTCTCGAAGTGCTTCTACAGTCTGAGGAGGACGTTGCAAATTGAGCAATCTGCTACCATATCCCACACGTGCTCAATTGGGGATAAGTCGTGAGATCTTGGTGGCCATGGTAACAATGTGACATCATTATGTTGAAAGAAGTCTATTGTGACTCTTGCAACATGTGGTCGGGTATTATCTTGTTGGAAAGTTGGATCTGCCAGGGTGTCAAGATGGGGTAAAAGATGGGGTTCTAGAACTTGGTGGATATAACGCTGCGCGTTCATGTTACCTCTGATGAAGATTAAAGGTGACCTGGAACCATAAGCTCTAGCACCCCAAACCATAACTCCAACAGTGTGATGAACATGTCTTTCAACAAAAAACTGTGGATTCCTCCTTTCATCACGTCGCCTTCTAACCCTGGCACGACCATCGTGCATGCCTAAACAAAATCGAGACTCGTTACTAAAGTCAATACTGTTCCATTCCTGATCCCAGAGTGACCGTTGTCTGCATCACTCAAGGCGATTACGTCGGTGTTCTCGAGTTAAAGGGAGGACCCAGTGTGGCCGGTATGAAAACAAGCCAAAACTTCTCATTTGTCGGTAAACACTTCGCATGCCAATAGGTCTTCCGTGTTCTGCAAACCAGTCATTTGCAATGGACCTGGTAGTGGAGAAACGGTCCCTTAAGGCCAATAATCTTAGGCGGCGATCTTCACGCTCTGTTGTTCTACGGCGGCGTCCAGTGCTCCTTGCTCTTTGCGTACGGCCTTCTCGAAGCCATGCCTGACAACACCTAACCACAGTGTCTACACTTCTTTGCACTCTAACTGCAATTGCCCGAAAAGAAAGTCCAGCTTCCCGAAGTCCCACTATACGGCCCCTATCAAACTCACTAAGTTGACGAAATCGTACAGGTCTCCGTACTCTAGGCATCGTAACCGATCGTAAAGGATGTCAAGAACCAAAATCCGCCAACGTTGATTCTTTACTGCGGCTGAAATATTCATTTTTAGAGCGTTATTGAATTAAAAAAAAACAGTATAAAAACCGGAATGTCCAACTGATAAGGCTGAAAATTTTTTAACTTGTTATTTACAGTAAGATAAATACATTCACCAACTTTTATTAAAATAAAAGCATTTGAACTGGGTGTTCGGATTTATATGTCACTTAGTATATAATCTCATATGGAAAATTTAGCCAGCATTGACTTTTAACGTGAAGAGATTCTGAGAATTGTAGCAAAAGGAACGGTTCGCGAATTGCTCTATTGCATGAAATCCCACTTGATCCTACAAGCAATCTGATTTCCTTTGCCGCTTGCAGCTAGCAAAGCCTTTTTCATTCCTGTATCCCTTTTTTTGGTAGGCAGCCGTTATCAGGTATATCCAGGTCGCGTCGTACATACGGCATAAATGAACTTTCATTTCATTGCACAGAAAGTGATTTCGTTTTTACTCCAGTCAACAAGTACCATTTATTTTCTCGCTGGTTCTGAATATAGCAATCAAAAATGGTTAAATACACCGAACGCCTATTTAGACTTTAAATGTGGGCCTTTTTTCCGTCGATATAAGCGAAAAACTGAACTAATAAGCAAAGTTTGACAAGTGAATAAATTTCGTACCAAAAAAAATTGAGGGTGTGGGTTGTAGAGGGTGGGGAGCGTATATCTCAATTTTTTCATGTAAGTACATTTATACTCTCCCAACCTTGGTGTTCTACGCATCTATTAGGCATTATTTCACACATCATAGATTAAATCAGGTATTGAAACTGATAGAGAAGTATTTCCAAACTTAGAAAGATATCTAACGGCCGCGCCTGCTTCTGCTCCCGGTGGCGTGTCGGTCCTGATAAGTGTTCTGCCATTACTGCCGTGTCATAGCTAAGCAGTGCTATGCCAGACGGACTAGGCAGAGCAGGGAAAGAATATCTATGGACTAATTGTATGGACCTGTTTGAGTTTTTTCTCATAGGGTCAAGTTTAATCTTCTATGAACCATTCGTAGCAAGTGGATCGTCACCCTACCTGACGCCATTTTTCCATCCTACAAGCTAATAGGTTCTTAATTCGATTGTCAATTTTAAAAGCACACCGAAATCGTCACCTCAATTGCTGGCCTATTTGATCTGATTACTATTGAAACATGGTTATCTTCATTTTGGCGAAAAACTGCGATGCCTCTGACGACCTAGCTTATGAGGTACAAATTGAATCAAAGCTTGCGTTCGCTATATTTTTATGTGAAATACGGCGTACGGCAAATAATCTCGAAAAACGAGAGTCTAAAACAGATCCTACCCACGCAAAGGTATTGGCGACCTTAAATTTGGCCGTGACCTTGACCATTTCAAGGTCGGGTTAATGTTTTTAAATTGATAGAGTGGACAAGTTCACGTTCGGATGAGTCCTTGACCCCTCACAAAATTTGATTCATGGATTCATGGTCAAGGTAAGAGCTTAAACTTATCCTGTGATGTCCATGCTGATAGAATTCCGTGATTGTCAGGTCAAATGAGGCGACATATGCATGAATCGCCTTTTACTGAGAATACATTATCCTTATCGACAAAAGTAGTGAGTACTCATACGAGGGTGGTCCCACAAGTACCCAACCTGACCTAGAGATGGCAATAGTAGTTTGAAAAATATCATTGTATTAGAAAGTATGCAACCTGTAAGGCATATGTGTCAAGTTTGAAGACGCCACGTTGATTAGTATTTGTTTGGCAGCCATCAATACTGAACGTTTTCAGTGAATTTGTGAAAATGGAGAAAATTGATCATCGTTATGTGGTACAATACTATTATTTCGGATTATTTTCTGTATCCAAACTTGAAGCAATGGCTCAGTGGTCAAAGATTTTCCAACGATGAAGAAGTGATGTCGGCAGTTAAGGGCTATTTTGAGGAGCAAGACAGTTCTTATTATAAAAAGGGTATCGAACTTCCCTCGCATAACATGAAATAAATTAAAACATAAAACAACGTTAAACATAAAACAGACAATAATTCAGCGTGCAAATATGGTCACACTACGTCATCAAGGTGTTCCTGTAAAGGTAAATGAATGATGTGGAGATGCCTGAGATTGTACCGTCTTCTATCATTATATTTTATTATCTGAATTTTTAGTCTCAAAACAACAACAAAAGTACTTATGATCGATTTTTAGTATAGTTTATAATTGACAGTTTACTTCCAAATGTTTTCAAAACTCGTAATTTGTTTCAAAATTACCAAATCTTCGGATTATTTTACAAATTTCCAAATTTTCCAATTATTTTCCCAATTTTCAAATACAAATCTTTCCCAAATTGCAAAATTTGGACATTTTGAATATTTTCAAGCTCAATTTTTTTTCATGATTATTGTATTGCCACTGGCCCTTGAAATTGGTGAAAATAGAGCTGAAATATTTCCTTACATACATACAGGTCAAGCTAATAGAAGCGTGTAAATAAACAATAGTTAAAAAACAACAAAAAAAACACGCTTTTATAGCTAAACGAACTAAAAAGTAGAAAATAATTTTTAATTACAAAGAGTTTATATTACAGTAGTAGATGGTCGAACAGTCAATCATAATTAATGACCTAAAAATGAAATTATAATAAAATTTAAGTTATTAACCGAATAATTCAAATCAGAGTAAAAAAGAAACTAGCTCTATCTCTCATACTTCCCTACAGAGGATCTATAAAAGAATGTATCAATCCTGGTTGTCCCAATAAAGATAATGGAAAACTGTTATCAAATTATTGCACTGTTTACAGATATCGTATAATTCTGGTGCAGCTATCTTTTATTAAGCAGTTGAAAATTCTCTCATTCTCAGCCAATAAACACTCAAGTTTCTATAAAAGCTCATTGTGTCTTTTTCCTCTTCCCGAAGTTGTAATTATATTTGATAAAAAATTTAAAAATCAGTCTCATCACATAATTTACAGACCTCGTAAATATTCATCCTTCCTCCTCTACGACCTTAACCGCTGTCATTGGCAAAAGTTAACACTCACCTTTGATCGTTCTGTTGGCAAGCACCCTATCGTTGAAGCTCATCGATATAGCCAGCTCATCTCCTTTGAGGTATTGCAGTGTAGCACATCCTGGTCCTTTGATATTCACGACAGGTATTGCGAAATCTCTGCAACAATTGCAGGACCATTGGGCGCAACTGCAAAATCTGTTCGGTGCACTCTGATCGGCATTTTGATTCTGTCTCTTGTTGTTTGATATTTTCCGTGACGCTTCGCTGATGTGGCTTTTGACGGCGTGTTCTGAAAACGAGATGTGTCGTCACCCAGCTTTTACAGTCCTTTTCGAAAAATGACGTCACGTAGATTGACTTCCCGCGCTTTCGAAACAGTAGAACTATACTACATGACACAGAAAATGCAACACCGACTAGGAGTGCTTTTGCCTGTCATTATAAATAGAGACCATAAAAAATTAAACTGAAGCGGTGGCGGTGGCGAGGCACAATAGCGGTTTGTAACTCTGCTTTTGTTCTGTTATCTGCAACGCAAACAATGTGTATCATACTCACCTTTATGTTTGGAGGGTTTATCTATCACAGCTGAAGCAGCGAATCCGACTAATATAGCTATTAGAAGCATCTCGATGATAAATGATATCTTCATGTTGACCTGAAATTGTAATTACCGTAATGGTAGAGTCAAAATACATTTTGAAAATGAATAGATGTTGATGGAGATTTTGTCTCTCGAAGGAATATGCTAAATTAATTATACAGGGTGTCCGCAAAGCTGGGGTTTTCCTTTACACGACGTGTAGATCTTGAAAACATAAGCAACTTTTCTTAGTACCATATACACCAATGTCTTAAGGGAACCGAGATAAAGGGCTCTGCAACATCAAAAATATCTGAATACCGTCCTGTAGCCGCGACATCCCCGACTGGTACTAGGACACTAGCTCAACCCGACGACAGAACTGGGTCGGGGTCCGTGTGTCAGGTCAGTATGTAACCTTCAACCGACGGTTACGGTCACGCGTTTAGAGGTAATCGCGTAGACGAGAATCCCTCAACAAGCACTAGAGACGTGGCTAGAGAACTGCAAGTATCAAAAACTAAAGTGTGGCAAACGCTGCGTGAAGAGGGGCTGGTAGTATCCGTTTCACGTCCAACGTGTACAAGCCCTTCAACCTGACGATTTTCCAGCAAGAGTGCGGTTGTGTGAGTGGTTGTTGCATCAACATGACAATAATCCGGACTTTTGAAAGTGCATATTGGTGACAGACGAATCTACGTTCACGCGTAATGGGGTGAATAACTTTCGCAACACTCATGTTTGGTCAGTAGAAAATCCGCACGCTGTCCGTCGGGCACATTTTCAACAAACATTTTCGGTGAATGTTTGGGCTGGCATGGTGAACGGTATGCTCATTGGACCATTTATTCTCCCAAATCGATTGGACGGGATGCAATACCTAGACTTTTTACGCAACATTTTGCCTTCCTTGTTAGAAGACGTGCCATTAAGTTTAAGACAATCAATGTGGTTTCTGCGTCTGCTCGGTAGCGCATCGGCTGATTTTATTTTCTGTTGGAGCGGTATGATTTCGGGCAGAGACGTACTTAGCCCTTCTCGTCAACTGGAGAGTGAGTACTTTTTCCTTTATTTTTTTTTACTTGGTCGCCCTCATTTCACTACACATCACCTTTGTTATTTCAAGGGTAGTTGCTTCTGAAAAGGAAAACCCCAACTTTGCGGACACCCTGTATACGCACGTGTCCGTATACACTCTTTTTAACTATGTCTCTTGATCTCAACGTATACTGATACTCCTACTCTTGCTTTTGAATTTGGGAATATGTAAATACTCTTTACTCGTTAGATGAATATTTCTTTCGCAGTATAGGTACAGGGTGTTACTTAATGATATGCGAATATTTAAGGGTATAAATCCACATGAAAAATTAATGTTAGTTTGTTTTATAAGCTATGGTCCAAAAATGTTTCCTTACAAAAACTTGGGGTGTTGAAGTTTAAGGACAAAAATCGAAATTAATATTTTCAGAACCGCTTCAGATATTTCACTGATATTTAGTACCTAGTGAAAGTTAATAATATTTTCAATGCAAAAATAATTTTAAAAAAATGGTACGCCGATGGGTTTTTGCCAAATGAAACTTATTTTTAAATTCCTCTTTTAATTTAAAACAAATGATCTCTCTTGAATTGTTTTCCTTCGATGCGTTATTTCTGAGTAAAAAAATGAAAACCGTTCTATTGTCTAACTTGCGAAATTATTATTAATTTAATTGGAAAAATTAAACGCATTAGGGGTAATGAACAACAACAACTGACAACATAAACGTAAAATTAAAACCAACGAAATGATTAGAAAAATTGTTGAAAATGGCCCCCTTCACTTAGTATGCATGCTTCCGCCCTCCTTCTCATGAAATATCCCTGGAGTGTTTTTTATTCTATCACATGCTGCAACTATTCTTTCTCTTAATTCCTCTACAGTGTTAATGGAACTTGTGTACACTAGTGTCTTAAGATAGCCCCACAAAAAGAAATCTGAACTGTTGGGGTCTGGGGACCTTGGTGGCCATTCTTGGGGACCACCGCGGCCAATCCAACGATTTGGATTGACTAAAAGAGCCGCAGTTAATGTCCGGAACTCAAGAGTATTTCGGACTTTGACCGAATATTCTGGCCACTTCGCGAAATGACTAGTCATTCCTCGGATTGCCCGCGCTTCGGGCTTTGCCTGTAACAGATATACAGTTTGTAAATAATTACGAACCGCTAGACTGAAATGCGCTGGTGCACCATCATTATTGTTTCTTATTACTAACGGAACATCATCAAGCAGCAAAGGCAAATGTTGTTGAAGAAAATTGAGGTAAGCCTGTCCGTCAAGTCGTCCCGGCAAGGGAAATGGCCCAATAAAGTGCTTCTCACTGTTTTCTATCGAATGCTTTGTTGTACGCGATTTAATGTTTAACTGTCATGCATTTTATTTGTAGTGCATCTTTTATCGTCACTTATATTTTTTTCTTCTCTCTGAAATAATGACAAGTCTTATATTATTTCAAATGATATATCTATCTATAGGGTTTTCCAATAGGGACTTGACAACTTTGAACTTTCACTGTGACCGCACCTTCAAATCAATGACCGAACTGTCAATGTCAAAACATTTTCATCGTAAAGTACATGAACGAACAACACTTAAAAATAATTAAAATTTACTACTGAAATCCGAGTCGATGACTGCAACTTTAAGAGCTTCAAAGCCAATTTTTGGTCGTAATTCTCGTCCCAGTAGACAAGCAATTCATAACAACAACATATTGAAATCAAAATTCGGTGAACGTGTTATATCGAGAAATGGCCCTGTCGAATGGCCGTCTAGATCGTGTGATTTAACACCTCTAGACTTTTTTGTTGGACTACATTAAATCATTGGTATATGTCAACAAGCCGGCGTCGCTAGAGGAGCTCAGAGCCAATATTGAACGTGATATAGCGGTCGTTTCGGTCGAAATGTGTGACCGAGTCATTGAAAATTGGGTTCAACGAATCGATCGCTGAGCAGCGGCGAAGCGTCCATGTAACCATTGTTACCATTGGTAACAGTTAAAAATCTTAAAAATAAATATACTAAGTGACATATAAATCCGAACACCCAGTTTAAATGGTTTTATTTTAATAAAAGTTGGTGAATGTATTTATCTTACTGTAAATAACAAGTGATGGACATTCCGGTTTTTATACTGCTTTTTTTTAATTCACTAACGCTCTAAAAATGAATATTTCAGCCGCAGTAAAGAATCAACGTTGGCGGATTTTGGTTCTTGACATCCTTTACGATCGGTTACGATGCCTAGAGTACGGAGACCTGTACGATTTCGTCAACTTAGTGAGTTTGATAGGGGCCGTATAGTGGGACTTCGGGAAGCTGGACTTTCTTTTCGGGCAATTGCAGTTAGAGTGCAAAGAAGTGTAGACACTGTGGTTAGGTGTTGTCAGGCATGGCTTCGAGAAGGCCGTACGCAAAGTGCAAGGGGCACTGGACGCCGCCGTAGAGCAACAGACCGTGAAGATCGCCGCCTAAGATTATTGGCCTTAAGGCACCGTTTCTCCACTACCAGGTCCATTGCAAATGAATGGTTTGCAGAACACGGAAGACCTTTTGGCATGCGAAGTGTTTACCCACGAATGAGAAGTTTTGGCTTGTTTTCATACCGGCCACACTGGGTCCTCCCTTTAACTCGAGAACACCGACGTAATCGCCTTGACAACGGTCACTCTGGGATCAAGAATGGAACAGTATTGTCTTTAGTGACGAGTCTCGATTTTGTTTAGGCATGCACGATGGTCGTGCCAGGGTTAGAAGGCGACGTGGTGAAAGGAGGAATCCACAGTTTTTTGTTGAAAGACATGTTCATCACACTGTCCCCTATCTTGACACCCTGGCAGATCCAACTTTCCAACAAGATAATGCCCGACCACATGTTGCAAAAGTCACAATAGACTTCTTTCAACATAATGATGTCACATTGTTACTATGGCCACCAAGATCTCCTGACTTATCCTCAATTGAGTACGTGTGGGATATGATGGGTAGGAGATTGCTCAATTTGCAACGTCCTCCTCAGACTCTAGAAGCACTTCGAGAGGAGTTGGTGGTTGCCTGGAATGAGATACCACAGGAGAACATTGACCACCTGATCAGAAGCATGCCTAGGCGCGTTTCGAACACGATGAAGCTGACTTGGTTGGCGGTTGTTACCATTTTCATTTATGGATACACTTGGTAGTCCGTCGGGGACCGTCGGTACCGGCTCGTGTCTGATCGCGGTCGCCCCAGTGCGTGGGGCGCTGCGACTACTATGTGGGCTTGTGTCTTCTGTTTTATACTGAAAAAAAGTGGGTGGACCATCAGCGGAGTCAACGATTTAAATAGTTTTAGGGCTCTAAAGAGGAAACATGAAATTTCTCCGTTACATGTGAGATGTGTAGCCAATTTAATTCAGTTTGAATAAACAACAATCAAAAGTTGCCTTAACCAGGCTTTTAGATACCGTATGTTTTTTGGCAAAACAGGAATTACCGTTCATCTTGAAGGGGATGACTCTGACAATAGAGGAAATTACAGGGAATTGTTAACATTGCCATCTACAACATACTTTTTGTAAGCCGTTTCCTGTTGCGATTCTGTTGGGTACTTTCATAATTTACTTATTCAGGATCGCTGGGTTAATTTTGAGGTTTTGTCATTCTTTGAAATAAGATACCTTGGACTATAAGTAGGTCTGGGGGAAAGAAGCTTAAAACATTGTTTTTGCTCAGGGCGTCGTTCGTGGAATTTCATTTGAAGGCATTATTTGCAAAAGGTATTTACTTTGTAGCAAATGTTTGGAAAGTCAAGAGAAACTTCCCGCTCTCAGGTAGCTTAATTTTAAGAGACGGCAAACGTTTCATCACTAACTTGGTTAATACGGATAAAAGAATCAACGATCTTGATCCTGAATTGCTAGAAAATATAAAAAATAGAGCACCCATTATAATAACATATACTAAATGGCATATAAAATGCAACACCCAGAATAATTTATCGAATTTTGATGAAAACTTTTTTGTCATATCAGGATCCTAACAATTTGAACATGTGATTTTTCTGCGTTGGTTTCATTTGTTTCATTGCATTATCATGCCTAGAGTTTGCAGACGCGCTAATTTCTACCTAAGTACTGTAATGAGATGTTGTCGAGCGTGGTTCCAAGAAGGTCGAAATCGACGTGTTAAAAGAACTGTCAAAGACAGACTACAGGGCGACAGGATCGTTAGTCGAGGCAACTATATTCAAATACCAGAATTGAGGACAGTAGCAGAAGTCATCGTGCGCCACTGCTTTGACGTAGTACCTTTTGATTACAGCGACGTTTGCCGACATTTAACAAAGACGAGCCGCCGCATTTTCAAAGGCCTCCGCGTAATAGCAGTGTCGTACGATGAGTTTCGCTACTGTCATCGATTTTGGTATTTTACTATAGCATTTACAGTATATTCAGATAAGAGATAGACCGGATGTAAACAAAAGGTTCGGGTGATTTTCACGCTAACGCCGCCGTCTCGACGTAAAACAGGAGCCCTCATTGGTCAATTCGCAATTAAATGCCTATGCCGAGCGGCAGAGCAGTCGTATGAAGGCAGAGTCACATTCAGGTTCAGACGTGTTACGTATGTCGTGTGCATCATTGCAATTTGATATTTCTTTGGACGTTTTCGTTTGTTATCTTAATCATGTTTAAATTTTGTGACCTCAAAGGACTTTTCAAAGAAGCACTAGAATTAATAACAGCGCAAAAATGGGAAAATTGTATAGCACGTGAAAGACAAAGTTGAAAAGAGAATGTGGGAACTGGACAATATTTTAGAGGAACAAGTCGAGCCATTCATTATTGACGTTGGTGCTTCAGGCAGTAGCGATGATGAAAGCTCATCAAGCTCATCTTTCCAATAAAAGATGTCGTTCATCAAATTCGGTAAGTTATAAGTAATTATAAAGCTACTGTATTTTTTAATTAATTATTGACATTTTTGAACCCATTTTGGCAAAACCTATTCAAGAATCTACTTTCTGACAATGTTCACCCATGCACATTTTTTTACGTTTTGAACGTTTTAATTTGGTTACATATTTACCTATAAATCAAAAAATATACTAATCAATATTCTAAAAGCAATTTTAAGAGATATACGATTATTTTTAATTTAGGCTAATTTAAACGCCATTTTGAGATTATATTCGACTGTATTTCACGAAACATCAGGCGGCATCCGAAGCTGGAAATCGAAGCGAAAATTTAGAAACCCTTATGTATATTTACATCATTATATATTTCTTACCCCACCCCCACATGATCCTATATCCATCACCAATCGTATACACATCGAATTGTGCTAATTTACTACAAAGTTACGCAAAGCAGCATCTACTATCTAAAATATGTACTGCGTGACTCTTAATACGTCCCTGTCGAATGTTACAGCGTTCGATGATCACGTGGTCTTGTTTATGTCCGGTCTATCTCTTATCTGAATATACTGTAGAGATCGATTTCCCCAACAAGAGCAGTTGCGAACTTGTAAAAGTACGCTGAAAATTACAGCACTCCTAGTCAGTGTTGCATTTTCTATGTCATGTAGTATACATAGAAGGTATTTATATTCCTTGTTATCAGAGTTTTGTAGCAATTATTATCGGACTTAAAATGCCAAGTAACATTGTTTATTTTGAGTCCTAACGACCTTCCTTTGCTGAAAACCTATTATGTCACAGGCCTTCGTTTATATCAAGCTTAAGGTCGATGACAGAATTACCTACTCCGATAATGGCTCTGTTACGATGATCGATATACCATATTTGATATTATTTACAGGCGTGGATTGAGCAGGGCACTGGGTACATTTGCCCCTTGTTGTGCTGTACTCTTGTTGGTGTGATTGTTCTTGAGTGCCTTTTTTTATCAAGGTTGATAATGGGCAATAAAAGGTCATATGCGACCATTTTAATTACGAATGCAGTGAGTTTAAATCATGAGGTCAACAATAGTGTGGAGCAGTTCAACTCTATAATCGCAAAATGCATTGGGGAGTAAGCGAATAAATTATTGCAAGAAGAGGTCATACGATGGAAGATGTGCTGGAGCTGTAGTGAGCCACAATACCGAGCGACCTGTCTATGTGGTCCAAATACATTTGCGTTCTAAGCATAGTCCAGCCTCGCTTATCGGTAAGATGGAACAAAGACTCAAACGCAAGAATCTTGCAAAGAAACTCAGGCCAAAAAAAGCTGATATAAGAATAACTAACAATTCGGATAGCAATTCCAAAGAAAATGAATAGTTTTATGGCGAATTCTGTCAAAAACCTGACATGAACGACATTGATTTGGAGGTTGCTAAGCAAGAATTTTTAAGGAAACTTAAAAAAAGTGACGACGAGATTTTGCAGATCGAATAAGATTATTTTTTCTGGGGACACCTCAAAGCGTTGCTATACAAAGCTCCTATTGAAAGTGAAGACGATTTGTGACATATTAAAAAACATGGCAGGTATTTTCAGGAGAGTGCATAATTTAATCATGAGGTGCATTAAAGCCGAAGGGGGCCATTTCCAACTCTTAATTTAATGAAATTTGTTAGACTAGATGTTAATGCTATTTAGCATTTGTTGCTAAATAATGAGTAATAAGAAATTATAAAAAATAATAGTTTCCAAATCTCCAATTCTTTGTGTGGCCCAGGACTTCCTTTCCTCGAAAACTAAGCAAGATAGGAAAAAAAATCAGGCGACAAAAAATTGTATTCCTATTTGCTTAATAAAGAACATAATAAACATTGCACAAAAGTCAATGGCGTACATTTTTTGTCACAAATATTCGTTCAGATCGCGCTCGGATTTTACTGTTATAAATATCACCGCCAAATTAAAATCAAATTAGGTAAAGGATATTTAAGATCGAATTTACGAAAAACCTTGTACCTTGAGAACGAAGAATGTATATATATATTGAGACGTGGTCATTGTCGTCTAGACCAGTTAGGTGAAAAATTAAAGCTTCCGCCTTTTGTTGGGTACTTCGACAAAAATTTTAAGCAATGAGGACTCTTTATACTTTTTTTATTCTCTCTGGCTTTCAATGGACTTTGCCATCATCATCAGGAGCTGCAATTACATTGATAACAGTAGCAACAATAGTGTAAGTCATTTTACACTATTGTTGCTACTGTTATCAATGTAATTGCAGCTCCTGATGATGATGTCAAAGTCCATTGAAAGCTAGAGAGAATAAAAAAAGTATAAAGAGTCCTCCTTGCTTAAAATTTTTGTCGAAGTACCCAACAAAAGGCGGAAGCTACAATTTTATATATATATATATATATATATATAGGTGAAAAATTAAAGCTTCCGCCTTTTGTTGGGTACTTCGACAAAATTTAAGCAAAGAGGACTCTTTATACTTTTTTTAATTCTCTCTAGCTTTCAATGGACTTTGCCATCATCATCAGGAGCTGCAATTACAATGATAACAGTAGCAACAAAAGTGTAAAATGAATTTAAATTGAATTAACTTACAGTATATATATATATATATATATATATATGAACTTTTTGTCTTGAAATTACTCATAGAACCATCTTTTAAATTTATGGTACATACTTAATTAACACCTTGTAGCAGAAACTTTTAATTTTCACGAATATGATGAGCGAAAAAACTGATTTTAAAAGTTCCTGTCCTAGACTTGATAGGCTTGATGTATAAACTCAAGAAAGCTCAATAACTTACCGGTTCTTCTGGAAACACTTTCGCTATTCAGACGGCGGATATGCGAACACAAACTGAACCGTTTCGAATTTCACCTGGGCTTACGTTAGTCAGTGCGAGCAGACTGTACGGATGCTTTCTTTCATATTGTGAAGATATACTGAGTGTTGCCACGATCTGAGCGAGTGGTTCCGGCAAAGAAAGGGGAAATGTCGGTCAACAGTTAGTAGACCGTCAGTCTTTATCCGGTGTTCTAATTTGGATAATTATAATGCAAGGTATATTTTATTAATTGCGCCAAGTAGACCAGTTGACACTACGAATAAAAATATGCTTCGGCTTACATGGTGGACCAAATGTATGCCACTAACGACTCGCTGCATAGACACTAGACATTATACACGGTGTCTGCGGAAGGTTGGGAATCTCAAAACTGGAGATTTTACAGACCAAGATATGTGATTTGACCTACCTTAGTCCAAAAGTTGATAGTTTGCGAGATACAGGGTGTCAAAGTCACAATTTTATTTTCTATTTTTTACCTACTGCTTGAGAAGTATTTCAGATTTTGGCATAAAGCTCAGTATAGGAAGATTTTCTGGTATGAAAAACAAGAATCCCTTATTTCGGTAAATAACTGATCATAATTTTTTTGTGCTACCCTGTATACAACAACTGACCAAAAAATATCATTTTCTCGCATTTCCACAACAAAAAAGGTTTACTTGTTAGAAGTCTCTAAAGCTAATAGTTTTCGAGAAATTTGTTTTTAAAAGTTTCAATGCATTATTTGTACCATGTTGATAAAACCTTTTTATAACATAATAATCAAGCTGCGTTGGATAATATCTTAGTAGCGTTGCTATTCAGGGAATCTGTCAGCGTACAATCTTCATGCTTTTAAAACATTACATCTTGCCAATCCGTACATTAAACGCATATCAGGATATTCATCAAACGTATATACAGGGTGGCGTATCGAAAACGAAACAGGCGCATTTACTGGCAGCTCAGTTTTTTTTTTGAAAAACGCTCAGACCCGTCGATTTTGTTTTCGAGGGAGACACAAGTTTGGCAAAAAATCACGTTAACCCTAAGCGGGGGTGCCACCACCCCCAAAATCTTAAATGGAAAGGGGGGTCGAGTGATACCTTATTTTAAAGGTCTTTCAATTCCCTTTATAATGATGTAAAACACATGAGCTTCAGTTCAGTAGTTTTGAAGATATATTGATTTAAACCGTAAAGTAGACTTTAATAGGTACATCAGATTAGTTTGTACTACTTTCAGAAAAAAATTGACTTAAAGAATTTACTTAATAAGTAAATGCTTTTCTTCACTTTCCATTTAAGATTTTAGGGTTGGTGTCACCCCCGCCCCCGAAGTGTACTTTGACCTATCCAAAGCCTTTGATTCAATAAATCATGAGATACTGGAATACTATGGAATAAGAGGCATCGCCAATGACCCATTGAAATCATATTTAAACAATCTTCCCCAAGTAGTCAGTATTACAGCTGAAAATGGTGATTTGTGTTATTTGAAAGAATCAAAAATTAGTATGGGGTTCCACAGGGGTCAATCCTTGGACCAATTCAATTGTTAGTGTACATAAATGATCTATCTTAATCTATCAACTTAACATCGTGATTCATGTACCCTGATGAGATATCGGGCATAGTGGCTGACAAAAACTCAGAACAGTCTCAAAAATAATTTAGCTGAATGGTGCAATGACGACTTAATAAATTTGAACATCGATAAAACGAATCCCGTAACTTCAATGTCACTACCAAATCACCAAAAATTCGGTAGGCCTTAAGTTAAATGTTAATCTCAGCAATCGTTTCTGCGAAGTAGGCACTGAGCCCTTGTCATTAAGCATGTAGGTATAATATACTAAGTGACATATAAATCCAAACACCCAGTTTAAATGGTTTTATTTTAATAAAATTTTGTATAAGTACTTAATGAAGCATAATAAGTAAATGATAAAAATTTCAAAATGATTGCACTGCTTTAAAGCCCTTTGACCTTTAATAATGTGTGGATGCACCCTGATGTGCATTCTCCAACGTGCCTAGGCATGCTTCTGATCAGGTGGTCAATGTCCTCCTGTGGTATCTCATTCGGGGCAACCACCAACTCCTCTCGAAGTGCTTCTAGAGTCTGAGGAGGATGTTGCAAATTGAGCAATCTCCTACCCATCATATCCCACACGTGCTCAATTGGGGATAAGTCGGGAGATCTTGGTGGCGATGGTAACAATGTGACATCATTATGTTGAAAGAAGTCTATTGTGACTCTTGCAACATGTGGTCGAGCATTATCTTGTTGGAAAGTTGGATCTGCTAGGGTGTCAAGATAGTGTAAAAGATGGGGTTCTAGAACTTCGTGGATATAACGGTGCGCGTTCATGTTACCTCCGATGAAGATTAAATGTGACCTGGAACCATAAGCTGTAGCACCCCAAACCATAACTCCAACAGTGTGATGAACATGTCTTTCAACAAAAAACTGTGGATTCCTCCTTTCACCACGTCGCCTTCTAACCCTGGCACGACCATCGTGCATGCCTAAACAAAATCGAGACTCGTCACTAAAGACAATACTGTTCCATTCCTGATCCCAGAGTGACCGTTGTCTGCACCACTCAAGGCGATTACGTCGGTGTTCTCGAGTTAAAGGGTGGACCCAGTGTGGCCGGTATGAAAACAAGCCAAAACTTTTCATTCGTCCGTAAACACTTCGCATGCCAATAGGTCTTCCGTGTTCTGCAAACCATTCATTTGCAATGGACCTGGTAGTGGAGAAACGGTCCCTTAAGGCCAATAATCTTAGGCGGCGATCTTCACGGTCTGTTGTTCTACGGCGGCGTCCAGTGCTCCTTGCTCTTTGCGTACGGCCTTCTCGAAGCCATGCCTGACAACACCTAACCACAGTGTCTACACTTCTTTGCACTCTAACTGCAATTGCCCGAAAAGAAAGTCCAGCTTCCCGAAGTCCCACTATACGGCCCCTATCAAACTCACTAAGTTGACGAAATCGTACAGGTCTCCGTACTCTAGGCATCGTAACCGATCGTAAAGGATGTCAAGAACCAAAATCCGCCAACGTTGATTCTTTACTGCGGCTGAAATATTCATTTTTAGAGCGTTAGTGAATTAAAAAAAAGCAGTACAAAAACCGGAATGTCCAACTGATAAGGCTGAAAATGTTTTCACTTGTTATTTACAGTAAGATAAATACATTCACCAACTTTTATTAAAATAAAACCATTTGAACTGGGTGTTCGGATTTATATGTCACTTAGTATATTTTGTATGTTATATGATAGACGTACTCCATATTTTTTAATTTTTCCACTAGCCGGTACTCACTTTTAAAAGCGCCAGTACCCTCTGGAGCCGAGACCGATCCATGTGGAACACCCGCGTTCATGTTGTGGGATGAAGAGGAAAACTTATAGGCACCTTATAACAGGTCCACCCGTCAACAAAGCTTCCGACTCTTTTATTAAAAATACAAAGCATTGAGAGAGGGATCTGTAATCTAAAGAGAGGATTAAACATATTTATTTATTCGTATACGTTATTGTTATATCAACAGTGCTGCAAACATCAGAACGTCTAGCTGTTTTCAAGATGTTTATTTTTCTTAATTATAAATTTAGATCAAAAATGCTTACGCAGACGGATGATATTAAATGCGTTTGATACGTTGCTGCCGCGGAGTGGAGTCCTTCAGTTTCAGCATATTTTGCACAAAATATGAACGGAACATACACCTATGTTAATTGCAGATCATTGCTCTCTACATTTTACGGCTGTTGGAGAATAGACCACGAGTATTTCTCAACGGTTTTTTCGTTTTCTTTTTTGGCAGATGAATGAGAGAAAAGACACATAGAAGCTAGAATTTTTGATACGTAAGCGTAAGCAATTTTAGCATTTTCACTTCCCATGTCTACTGGCGCTATGACATGTACATAATGAAGAAACAAGTCCCTCATTTCAGCCGGTGGCATAGCAGTAACCTTGCGTAAAAAATTCATCCAAATCAGAGCAGTACTTTCCATGTTGCTGTGCTCGGCAATGGCCGATATGTAAGTAAACAAGATGACTGTAATGTGTTAGTTATATATTCTTCACTTCGTCTATACAATACATAAGAAATAGTTTGGTTGCAATAAAGTAGAATCACGTAACAGAATAGTTGTATAGTTGACAAAAACTGAATCTTGCACTGACGCAAATGTCCTATAGCGGCTGCTGTTACCTGCAGCTTTTAAATGACTGAAGTGTCCTATTAGGTGTGCCGATTCCGCTTGTATAGCTGTTCTAAGAGGGTTTTGCCAATCTTCTTACAGTATACAATGCTGTGTAAGGAATACTGTATAATCATTCTTGCAACTCTAATAGGAGTGATAATTGTTAGTTGGGACGGAAATGAGTGACATGGTTTTTGATGTTGTACATATTATACAACACTCAAAAACATATCTCAGTTTCGCGATTACAATACTGCAACCGTCACATTTAAATCTGCTGCCACTTTTACGCTAAAATGTAATATTCATGCATCGAAAAAATAAGTTGGGGGACCATTTTGAACAGCACTGCATAATCTGGCTTACCCTAATTCTATTACCGGATTTATTTCCTCAATTCCAACCACATGTCCTTCAAAACCTTATTCTTTATGTACATATTTACCTCCCGAAGAAACGTGGGTCCCCTTCTATGGAAATCGAGTGGGGCGTTGAATCTCGATCACCATGCAAATTTTCTCGAGATCCATGGCCGTGAACCCTTAAAATAAAATCAAGGTTACACCATGCGCCGATCATCATTGGGCTTTCATAGAGATATTTTCCAGCAACCTCTATCAGTTTATTTTGGTTTTGATTATATATTTAGAAAAACCGAATGTTTTCGCAAAACTTCCTACCGGTTTGATAGCTTGACACATTATTATGGAAACGTATTCATAGGTAGATAGTGCAGTTAAAATAGGAACGAATTATGTTATACTCGGTTATCAAGACGGCACAGCATATTGCAAGCCCTTGTATTGGCGAACTCAGTGCGCGGAGATACAAAAACACGCCGCGTCAACAGTGACGTACGACCTGTTTTGTTACCGCAGGCCAGTGAAGCCACTCTGGCTAATATTTGTCAGACGAAAATAACTCCAGCGAATAAGCTACGAGCCCCTCTATTCATATACAGTAGGATAATCGAAATTTCGGATAAAACGGAAATAAATATTCAGACTAATAATGCTTCTATTGAAAAAAGTAAATGCGTGTGTTAAG